AAAAAAAAAAACCGGTGTCCTCTCTTGACTGCCCTTTCAGAGGGTATACATTTAAAAGCTGCTGATTCGTTAGAGAATACAAAACTGTCCAAAGAGAAAAGTGACTATTTCATGGAAATGAAATGCCCAATGGGGAGGAGTTGGTTATTTGGGAGCAGAGAAACAGTAGAAGTGGTTTATAACTAACACGGTTACAAATCATTTTAAAGAGAAAAATTCTGGAGATGGATTCTAGAGAGAGGAGTAAAAACCCAGTTGTGATTTTACTGAAACCCCAGACAGAAGACCGGTGAGAAAACATTTGCTCAGTCAATTGTTAATAGTCTTACTGAGGGAAGACGGGATTTTAAAAGGATATTTAAAAGTGGGGACTAGGGTATAAACAACTGAAGGGGGCTACAAAGATCGTCAACACAGAGCTCCCTGACTGTCTTTGCCCTGAAAGCCTTATGCACAAATCCTTCAGAGCCTTGAACTCTCACGCCCAAATAAGTTTCGGCATTCAGAATACTTGATTCAACCAGCCCAGAGTGTTTTGAGGCAGTTTTAGGCTGAACTTGTGGCCATCTCCTGACACATTTTTATGCGTAAAGCCTGCGCAGTTAGGAAAAGAATAACCAGGTTTTCTTGTAGGCTGAAGCTGGGCAACAAGTGCAGCTAGCACAACTGGCGCCGACCGGGTTTGGGAAACCAGCTTCCGCGAAGCCAAGTTGGTGGCCCGAGACCACAAGGGGCGGGGCCTAGGGTGTGCGCGTCACGTGACCGCTGAGCCACTGGAACACCCGGCGCTTGCGCAGTGTAGTCCCGAAGAGGCGGCGGCGGCGGCGCTGGTGGTGGTGGCGGCGGTAGCTGCGTGGACTGAGGCGTTGGCAGGCCTACCTTTGGCGATCTTGGCCCAGGCTTCGGCTCATGGCACCGAGCAGCATCCATCGTGAGGTAGCTGGGACGGGCGCCCTGAAGCAGGCGGCAGGGGAGGCGCCGGGACGGGAAGGGCCTGCGCCGCCTCAGGCCGCACCGGGCCGCGGCCTGAGCCGCTCGTCCGGCTCTAGGCCTGGCGTGCGCCTGGCGTCCGGCTGTGCGTCTCCTTCCCGATCCCACCTGTTGGGAAGAGCAGGCCTGGGGTGCTCGCCTTGGGCGTCGCCTCGCTTTAGGGGTGCGTCGGGGCCGGAGCCTCAGCCTGGATTTGCGACCTCGCTCACGGCTGAGGCTGAATCCCCTGCTTCCGTAGAGCTGAGGGCGAGACCGTTTGCCATTGCAAAACAGCGTTAGCCAGGGGGAGATTTTTTTTTTGGGGGGGGGGGGGGGGGGGGGGGGGGGGGGGGAAACCTTTGGAAACCCCCCATTAGGTTTTTTTTGAAAAAAAAAACCAACAATCTGCTTATATAGATTTTTTTTTACCTTTCGTGCTCAAGAACCTGCACTGTCTTTTAAGTTAATAAATACTGTTTGGCGTTAACAATGTTATTTAAGGTATTGATGTAAGTCATATTAGTCATATTAGTAATGATGCAGTAGTACTGTGTAGCTTTAGGCCGACTCAAATGCCTGGTTTGGGGTTGGCATCAACACGGCCTTCTGTTCAAGAACTTAACCCTAGAAAACTAATCTAACGTCAGAAATACTTTAAATTTTTCAGCCGCTGGAAACGGTAATGTTAGGAATGTACGGTTCATACGAGAAAATACGAAGCTAAGACTGGGACTCAGGGGCGTCTTTTAAGTCGTCTGAGGAAAATAAGCAACAGCTGTTAAGTTCCTTTACTCCTCTCATGTTTGTAATCTCATTCTAGAGTTAAAAACTGTTACTCTGTGCATTACTCGTGTACGCTGGAGCTGTGCATTACTCGTCTACGTACACGAGTACTCTGTACCCTGAGGCTTGGCCTCTAGTGCCTTTACCTGTTGAGCCGGCTCGCAGAATTTTTTAAAGACTCAATACTTAGTGCTGTTTGTATCCTATAGTTGAATTGAGGAAAAAAGATTTTGAATATCGTTATAAAAGTTGGTTTCTTATTTTCAAAGAAGAGCAGAATTGTCTGTTAGGCGTTAAGAATTCTGTGTAAGACATAATCTCTGGATTACGGACACATTGTAAATGCATGAGCAACGTTCAATTTCTGGGACATAATTGTTTAAAATGAGGAAACAAGATCTGTCTGTGAACATCCTACTTAGTCTCTAAAAACCAGTTGCCAAAACCACTTGTTGTAATAACCCCTTTTACAGCCTAGGTATGCAGGTGACTCATCCGTGGCTGAGACGTGGAGTGATTGCGGATTGCAAAGCTAGCTAGCTTTCAAAAGACTTACTTGGCCTATGGTACTGATCAGTGATACATAGTGTCTTATGTCTCCTGGGCATAGGAGGCAGGTAAGACATCATGTAAAGTATTAGAGGTCAGAGGCATCATATTGAATGAGTTTAATATTTAAGTCATCTAAAATTCCTTTTAATTTTTAAAACAGCATCCTGAAAGGCAAGTGTTTAATAGACCCCAAATAAAATAAATGTTAATTTTCACTATAGAGGAATTGTGTTTCTATGTAATACACGCTTAGTTTTCTACCTCACGTATTTGAGTCTGCCATCCCTATGATAATCGTATTAAGATGTCATAACATAAGAAAAGTATCCAATAATATGGTGAATTGTGGAAAGGAAGAGCTTTGTTAGTCTGAGGAATAGTATATTGCCAAGGCTCACACAGGAAAAGTGTACTGAGCTCCTAAATGGTGACAAGGAATAGAATTGTATAATCAATATGTTCAGAAAGTTGTTAGGACTGGAGGTGTCATTTGCTCAGCTGGTTCTAGGAAAACAGCATTGAGCAAAACAAAGTTCCTTCCTCCCTAAATCTCTTAATATAGTAAGATTTATTTATCTACATCAAGAGTATAGCATTGTATATTTTGTTTATTGCTGCACCCAAAATAGAAGCTGTATATATTAATTGAATTGTATGTGTATCTCAACACACAACTATAAAGTGTGTATCTACTCTTTTTTTGAAGAAAACTTTTTTCTTCTGTGTATGTATATGTCTTTGTGGTGTTATGTGCATTGTCAGTGCAGGTGGGTATGGAGGTGCTGCCAGTGAATACCCCTCCTTGAGAACAGGAGATGGTATAAACAACTAAGATCTCTCTCCAGCCCCAATACAGTGTCTTCTATATAGCTCCATCTGGCTTGATGTAACCCTCTGTAGTCTCCCGGGTTAGTGAGATTACAGTTGAGTATGTTTTTCAGTCAGGGCCTTCCTTTATAGTCCAGTGTAGCAAGCACTCTTGCTCTTTCTATCCCAAAGGCTGATATTAGAGTCTTGTAACACCATACCTGCCTGACTTGGATGTTTTCTGGCCTGTAGACAGTTTTTCTACTTTAAAAAATCAGAAGAAGCTAGCCGGAAGTAGTCTGTAGTTTGAATAAAAATATTGATGTACAGAAGAGATGATAATTATTACAGAAGCAGTGTGAATGAAGAGAAAAATTTTCTAATATCTATGTGTATAAATATTTTTCCTTGTATGTTTGTTCCCCACAATTGGACTGAAAAAATCAGAGAGTGAGTGAGTGTTAGGTGCCTTGAAACTAGAGTTACAGATGGTGTTAAGTCACCATGTGAGTGCTGGGAACCAAATTCATGTTCTCTGGAAGAGAAACCTTTGCTCTTAACTGCTGAGCCATCTCCCCAGCCCAAGAAAGAAATGCATTTTTAAACAGTTTGTGTACTTCAGTGACCTTGGAGACGAGAAAATCTGCAGTTACAGGTGGTTGTGAGCCATTCACCATGGGTACTGGGAACTCAGTCACTTATCCTTTGGAAGAAAGGCAAATGAAGCATTCTTAACTGGTATGTCATCTCTGAAAACTAAAAAGGGAGATGGTTTTTATAACAAGGTATAAAATATTGTGTGACTGTTTTGTAGGTAAAGTTAGATTAAGTGACATGAAGTTGATTAAATGATGAGATGAGTTCTGCTGGCCTCTTTCGTTATCAGAATAGCACTCGTGTGTTAGTGTGGTTGACTAAGGACTCTGGCATTGTGCATCATTTGGTGAATTTTGTGTATGCTGGGCCTCTAGACAGTTATATCTTGACAGACCTTGCTCTTACATGTCAAAAACTTGTAATCTTAGCTGTTTATGGTAGCACACATCTTTAACCCTGCTCTAGAGAAGCTGAGGCAAGGGTATCCAAATTCAAGGATAGCTGGTTTACGTGGTAAGTTCTAGGTTAGCTTCAGAGATATACAGTGAAACACTGTGTTAAGGGCGGGAGTGAGATGGGAATCTTGTAGGAACCGTCAAAGCTGAGCAACTTTGTGCTCGAAAGAACAGGACAGAACTGTACTGAAGGTGCATCATCAGCAGTAACCTAACTAATTGAAGAGTTATAGGAGTAGTTTTCAGGAAGTAATGTTTAAATTGTCCCAGAACCCATATGATGCAAAAAGAGAAACAGCTTTTAAAAGCTGTCCTCTGGTCTTCACACTGACGACGTGCCATGTGACACATATAAATAAACACATGTGATGACTGTTAAGAATCTTCTGTTTTAAATTGGGTTGTTTTGATATTTTGTTGTTGAGTTATATTGACTATCAACCTCTTATTAGATATTGGACATTTAATATTTTATCCCATCCTAGGTTGTCCTTTTACTTTGTTGATGGTTTTGTTATATTATTTTTTTAAAGGAGTGCCAATGTATCTTAGATTAATTTTGAATTTATAATCTTCCTGATCCTCCAGAGTGCCAGAGTACTGGGATACTTGTTTGTCCTTTCTTTTAAAAGGCATTTGTACCATTGGCTGCTTTCTTTAAGTTAAGTTATTGGTGGTTGAGAGAAAACTGTCTGATATTAGTTAGATGGCACATTAGAAAGAGTGTTAGAATAACTTGGGGGACTGGAGAGAGAATTCTAGGGGACCATGGTTCATTTTCCAGCACCCAGGTTGGGTGGCTCATAACTACCTGGAACTCCCAACTTTAAGGAATCTGATGTCTTCTTCTGGACAATGTTGGCAGCTGTACTCACATGTACACGACCCCTCCTCATAATTAAAAAATATGATTCGTAAAAATTCCACTAGTGGGGCTGGAGAGATGGCTCAGTGGTTAAGAGCACTGACTGCACTTCCAGAGGTCCTGAGTTCAAATCCCAGCAACCACATGGTGGCTCACAACCATCTGTAATGAGATCTGATGCCCTCTTCTGGTGTGTCTGAAGACAGCTACAGTGTATTCATATATAAATAAATAAATCTTTAAAAAAAAAATTCCACTAGTTTGTGCTAAATTATTTTCCAAAATTGATATAAATGTAGTGTTTTGGTTTATCTATCACTAGGGGAAAATGATATAATTTGGTTATTTTAGAGAAAATGGGATACCTTGCTACTTTTACATTTTTTTTCTAGTTCCATGACAGCTTTTGTAGAAATCTAGGTTTTGCTGTAATTTATAGAAATATCTCTAAGTTTTAGTTCCCTACAAAAGTCAATGAATAAGATATTTCAAAGAGATTTCCTTGTTTCTCACCTCAGTGATCCTGGAGTCTAGAATAGTGCCAGTAAAATTGTACTTTAACTATTTTCTTTAATCAAAGGAAGAAAAAGTTACTCACATGGGCTAGAGGGATTAAGAATGCTTCTGCTCCTGTAAGGGAACCACGTTTGGTTCATAGTACCAATGTTGAGTAGCTCATAGTTGACTGTAACTAAAGTTCTAGGATATTCAGTGCCCTCTCTGGTCTCAGGCACCTGCACATATATGTACACATACAGACACTCAGGCACACATACCAGTGTGATAATATGGTCAAATACTGACTAGAACTTTTGGATCTGGGATTATGCATGATCTCTCTTAGGAAGTTGTGAGGTCCTGATTACAAGAGTTACCCATGTAATATCCCTTTTATGTTATATTTACTAATAAAATACTTTGTTTAAAGCAGCAGTGTGTCGGATTCCATTTAAGAGATTAGGAGGCTATAAATGCTGTAGTATTCTGGGAAGTTTTTGCGTTTCTGATTTTAAAAAGGACAGTATTGACTAGTGTATGTCATTTTCTTCCTGGTTGAATTTGAACATTTCTTTAAACAACTTCTGTCTATGGAGTAGTCTTTAGGGATTAGCCAAAACAATTAAGTGACATTTGCAAGCCTCTAACTCAGTGGTTCTCAACTCTCCCAATTCTATGACCATTTAATATAGTTCCTCATATTATGGTGACCCCTTAGCTGTAATAACTATATTTTTGCTACTATTAAGAATTGTAATATAAATATCTGTGGTTTGTGCTAGGTGACCCTTGTGAAGGGGGGCATTTGACCTGCCTAAAGGGGTTGAGGCCCATAGATTGAGAACCTCAGCCTTAACACACTGCCAACTTTATATCACATAAGCAAATATAATGAGAGTGAATAAATTTCTTCTAAGTATGTCCATACTATGGTCTCCAGGACCATATGTGTCTAGGGATAGCTATAAATACAGTCTAACACAAAATAGTAGATTCTCTCAAAATATTGATTTAAATTTGGGAAAAGGTAGATGTTAATTCTTTCCCAGAGTTCTAAAGCATTATCTTTGTAGATGATGGTATATTACAATATCAAAAGCTTAGGCACACCTGAACTATTATCAGGTGTGTTGGACCTTGTGGTACATACATGCAATACCAAATACTTGGAAGACTAAGACAGGAAGATTTAATAGTTATTATCAATAGAATTTCTATTATTTGTAGACAAAATGTACTAATTTTTCTGTTTTTAGTAGGCAGACAGGGATTTTAATAAAATGTGGAG